ATTGCCGCTATGCTTACCGACACTGATGGGTCAGCCAATCCAGCTCTGGGCAAGAGCACTGATAGAGCTGGGCACAAGAGGTCTGGCTTTCGTTCATCAGGGCGCCCAATTCCGTCAGAATGCTGGATTGCTCTGCATTCGCACCGCAAGCGCTCCGGCCGGCCTCTTGAGCTGTCTCCTTTCCAGTTGACTGACATTCACTTGCAGAAGTCTGGTTGCACAGCTCCATAAAACGTGTCACTCGACGCGCCTCGGAAAAGACGTGTTTCGCTCGGTCACGCAAATTGTAAAGCTGTCCCTCGTTATCTGAGCAGAGGAACAATGTTAAAGGGACGAATTACAGCACATTCATGTCGGATATCCGTCAAAAGTGCCAACATATAACATTCCTCAACTATTCGGGTGTCTTTAAAGTATTTTCCAAAATATTTTCCTCTGGACAAGTTGCACACACACATACATACACACACACATATATTGTTACTTCTAGTTTTTACTTTTATTTTACCAGCCGAGTGTTAGTAAATAAAAGACAGTTATCCGACTTTGTAATAAGGTTCAGTTCAGAGGGAGCATCAAACTAATTTTATTTTAGGCAATGAGTAAATTGGCATATTCAGGGTCGTATACGAGGCATGTCGGATATTCGTTAAAAGTGCCAGCTTGCTTTAGCATATAACGTTCCTTAACTATTCGGGTGCCTTTAAAATACTTTCCAAAATATTTTCCTCTGGACAAGTTGTACACAGACACAGACACACACAGACACACAGACACACATATATATATATATAAAGAAAGAGAGAGAGGGAGAGAGAGGAGTTAATATCCCTTGAAACATTTGGTGCTAATTAAGCTCCCTGATCTTACTCCATAGCCCAGTTTTGCAATGGACTCCACACTTAGCTTCTAGTTTTTGCTTTTATTTTACCAGCCGAGTGTTAGCAAATAGAAAACAGTTATCCAACTTTGTAATAAGGTTCCGTTCAGAGGGTGCATCAAAGTACTTTCATTGTAGGCAACGCGTAAAGGGGCGTATTCAGGATCGTATCCGAGGCAGATGTCAAGCTGCTAGGGTCGTCGTATTGATGGGCACAGTCATAACATGGTTTACTGAAGGAAATGGAATGCAGCGCTTGTTCACACTTGAAGATAAACAGCACAGCTGTTCACTTGCACTTCTGCCATACAATGGAATAAACAATTGAGTATTATTACATACTATGACCTGCAGACTGCCTTGGAATAGAGGGCTAATTGTTTGCTCTACAGTTTGGCACAATTTGTTGAGTTCAAAGGAACCATCCATGCTGCCAATGGCACATTTCCACTTTTTATGTTCTTGGCGGTTTGGATGACCGCCAATTGGCCAGTAGCCCAAGTGGGCATTTGAATTGTAGCCGGAATGAAGGAGACAATGTTTGAGTGTATAATAAAATTGCAAGACACAGGCACTTTATCGACAAGAAATGCCATATATTTCTTTATTAATGCAATTTATGCAACCTGGCTGCATTAATTTGGTCTTGGCAAACATAAGCCAAGCGGGTTGAAAATGTTGCCGTTGACAATAAAAATATCGAGAAGTCTGGGCAAGTGTCTACGCAACGGACTGAAATAAAAATGGGCAGAAACCTATGGCAGCAGGAAAAAAGGTCTACACTTAAGCATCTCAATGCAGCGAAACTACAACATCATGAGGCATCGTCCGACCCATGGACGAGAAATCGAAATTTCTCGTTCACCATTTAACTATGGAGATGTCAAATGAAATGGTACCAAGGGGAACGACTAGATAAAAATAGGCTCTGCAAACGTCAGTTTGGTGTTCTTGTCAAAGTGGCCGGGATAAACACGAGTGTTCTTCGGGTGAGGTATTCCGCAACAGAGGTGGTGACTGTGCTGACGAAAATCATGAAAATTGTATAGACATTTTTGGTGAAGCAATGATAATAACTTTCGCTGTGATGGTGGTACAAGTGGTGAAAGTGATAGCTAGAGACGATGGTTGTTCTGATGATGAGGTTTTGGCTCTTGTAGTTTTAATGACAGTCCTATTTCCGATACACACTTCGAGCTTGGAAGGCTTTCGTTGGTGTTTAATGCCAAGCATAAAGCTGACATGGGTGAGTTGAGTTTTAGTCTATTTTCCTAATTTAGCCATCATTAATGAAAGGTGGGAACGTCGCTGAATACAAATTATCAATGAAAATCTATCTTCTTGCGATCGCTGCTTCTTGAAGCTACTTTTTAATTTATGCAATTTCCACTTATTAATTATTTCGCGTTACCTACGTGAGGTAGCTGAGCAGGTGGTTTAATGGAATAGGCCATCCCATCTGATAACCTTAGATAAATTGGAATGTTGGGCTTTTTATGCATTCCAAAGTTGGGGATCATTTTGTAAAAAGCAGCCATCGCCCAAAAGCAAACGATTATGCATTTAGAATAGAGGGTTACTTTTCTTTGAAACTTCTTTAAATCATTTTTCAGACATCCTCAAGCAAAATCAATAGCAATGTGACTTAGGAAATCGTTACTTGTTAAAAGTATATGTGCAAACTAGACTTAGATCCCTTGAAATACTATGGATCTACAAGGTAAAAAGATTCTATGCTTACACAATAAAGCTTGCTTTTAAAGCGGAAT